GAATCGATTATATTAACACACCCCCGGGTGGCCGGCTAGATACCCTTCGCTCGGGTGGGGGGTCAATTTGACCCCTGAGATCTCGCGAACTAAGAAAGCTAGAAACACCAAATTTACATAGTGTGTTGACCTGTGCGTGAACTGACTTAGGTCAAAGTTTCAGGTTCCTAGGTTATGACCTTTGGATCCGAAAAGGTCAAACAAGGCCAAGTTCCAGGCTGGTGTCCAAAGTGTCCCCAGAACCTAGATAACCGTTTCTAAGCAAAATGTCCCATGCTCATTCAAGGTCAGTGACCTTGTTTGATCTTTTGAAGGTCAAGGTGACCAAAATCATGCACGATCGTTTCGAGTTTTGCATTTGACTAAGCGACAAAGATAACGCTAGACAGCATGTTCCTAAAACAAAGCGTTGACCTGATTTATTTTAGATCATTGATCTATTCTGACCTCTAACAAGTTCATGAAAGATGCATAATGCGGTTCCCGCCATCAATAAATTCGAAATGAGCATCAGCATTTATCCCGTACAGGAAGCCCTAGAGTAACAAAGCAAGTTAGTTTTGACCTCGGTGTGACTTTCATAGTTAACCTTAAGTCAATTTAATTTGCTCATTCAACTGTTGTGTTGCCTAAGAAAGCATCTCAGCGATGTATGGCTTCGTCTAACACTCCGTCGTTGGATCAGATTGAAGGATTCCCTAGAAATTGCCTTCGCTGAAACTATGACCTGACTTTGACCTGCCATAGGTCAGCGACCATACAACGTACGTCTTAGTTTTTGATGCTAAACAATCTGCTATTTCATTGTCTACAGCTATGCAAAATTGGGCGCGGCTGCGCCGCGCCGTCCGGAAACCATTCTGGAAAAACCTTCGGGGCAGGGGTCAATTTGACCCCCCACCCGAGCGCGTGTTAAGGTTTCAAGGCGATCAGACAAACCTTTTGGGAAGACCTGTGTGTCTGTCTGATATGCCGGATTTTTAGACACCACTCTTTTCACTTCCCTTCCACAGGGTTTTTAACGCAAAACAAAGCAAAGAAGCTCAGCAGCATGAGTAACAACAACAAATTGAACAAGCCTCAAGGGTCCAAGCAAAAAAGTCTTGGATTCCTGCACAATAGTACATCACCAAATCAAACAGACAATAGACATACCACTGACTTCTGTTAAGATGGGGCCAGGAAATACAAATATTATGTCACTGTTTCTTGCAAAATACCAATTCTTATTTCTATGAAAGTAACCCAACTAGCAGTCACCTAAAAAAGCCTTATCTCATCCCATCCCGTCTAGCCGATTTTTATCACAAATGCATTTTTGAGTTGCTGGTTCTTGCAAATAGCTACTGCCGCTTGCCATGTAATTAAACAATTTAACCTAACTTAGAGTAGCCCATACGCTGAACATAATCTCAACTCACCTCATCTGTTTCTTAACAGCATCAGTTGTGATACAAATTTGATAAAGCATATTTTTGGCTTGTTGCAGCGTGTGATTTGGTTCAGTTCATTTGTGTCAGCTTGTTGAGACCAGACAAAGCTGACAACACACAAGTCCAAACTGTTCAAAACACTTGTAAAAATTGTTCTGATGTCACAGTTAGCCTTTGTCAAGGGCAATAGCGGGTATGCTCCACCAAGCAATCTCTCTCCTTGAAATGTAACATAACTTATGGATGGTAGCAAAACCAGTTTCATCACTTGCCTTTTCAGTTGCAGCGAAGACATCCATTTCGGTTTGGTTTTGCATAGTTGAGGACCTAAAGTTTGGCATTTGTTGGCCGCGCATTTGAAATAGGATTGTCTGCCCATTTGCTGAAAACCGATATCTACCTCACATTCCACTTATTATGCAGCTTAGAGGACTCCTGCGTTAAGAGATAAAGTGCACATTTACAGTACAGTCATTTGCCAGTCAGTAACCCATGACAACTATAGACAACATTCAGTAAAGGCAGTGCGCATACACCCTCCAAATCGGAGGGTGGCTACGCATGGGACACATACACACTCCAAATCGGAGGGTGGTTACGCATCGGGCTTATACACCCTCCAAAACGTACGTATCGTAAACGTATCATCATACCACGCCGATAGGCCATGAAGCTACCCACTTAACAGCGGCCTCCATCGGGATTCGAACCCAGGCTTACCGCGTGCGAGACCAGCACGCCAACCATTCATCCACTGGATGGTAAGCGTGCTGGAAAATTGCATGGCCGAAAATTCGTGATCAGAAAAGAGCTGGCTCAGAATGGGTTGACGGATTTCGTGATCGTCTGATGCATGTGATGATGATGATGCCGTCTTTTCGCACGGGATGCTGCATGTTTGTACTTGCTTCCCTTCAAAACAGGCAATCCGCGTGTGCTTGGTGCGCACAACCACCTGAAAGATTTTTGGAAAGTGTGTAAGCCCGGTCGTAGCCACCGTCCGTTTTGGAGGGTGTATACGTGCAGCCTCCTGTTAGAGCAGACATGAGTGACCACTTCAACAAATTTTAGGCAAATGATCTAGAGTATGGAACAAACTAATTAACTTACATGTCTTGTAGGATCCTAATTTGTCTTATGAGCAAAACTAGATGGATTTAAACAGAAAATGGCCAAATCGGGTTGCAAATAATGTGTTGAAAGCAGGTAAGGTTAGCAATTATATGACACACAGGAGAAATTTACTGGCTTTTTGAAGGCAGGCCCCTTCTTGCCCCCCCCCCCCCACAAAAAGTCAGTATCTTTGGTATCGCTTGCTGAAAGACAGGTTCATCCAACCACGAAACATAAATATGCTCACTATGCCCATATACCACATACCATACCCTCCAATCTTCAAGATTAAAATGGGAATAATTAAGAGGAGGTCTGCATGAGAACAGCTTTCAAGGGCAGAAGTTCACCGCCAAATACTTCTGCACTAGCTGCGCCAGTACTGTCCCAAAGCTATTTACGATAGGACCATGTAGCGTGGTAAGGTAGCGCGACTGGAATGGCTTTGATTGATCAGTATTGAGCCACACCATGAACCCCAAAAATGTCTAACTTGGGGTTTAGCAATTCAAAAGTGGCGGCAAAAATAAATTCTGCGCTTCAAATTGTTTCATTCATTCCCCATGAAATGTTCACTCTTGAGTGCATATCAAACCTGTTTGGGCGGCCGCCAAATCAATCCAATTTATGTACACAACGCGTGCAAGTTTACAGTTGGAACGTTTACGCACAAAAATTGGTTAACATTTTAAACCAAAGACGGCATCTTTAAAGACTATCGGAAAGCAAGGCATACTGAAGTTGTTGAGCATTCATATGAGGCCAAGAAAAATAAAAGTAATCAAACAAATATAAAGACTTTGAGCTTTTTGGCAAAATTTTGTAATGAACGTATCCTACTCAAAATCTGTGAAAAGGAGCGCTGAAATGGAGACATTCAGCTTTGGGATTTTATTCAGAATGCATTTCTTGAATTTTTCACTCCTGCATTTCGGGAGTGGTGCAACTAGTGGTCAGATTTCTTCGGGTAAAAAAAAAATACGTGGAGTTAAATTACCTACGAGGCCTTGTTATTTTTGCCAGGCTTTGCTCTGCTGGTATGGTATTTGTGTGGTGTAACCCCCAAAATTGGGCATGCGTGAATATCAGACATTTGACACATAGGTGTGGATGATAATGCATTTTGTAAACAAACCGAACTTGATGCATGCAAGCGGCTGGACTCGCTGAGGCTCTCGAGTTTGAAAATGCACCTGATGCCCTTGCTCTGCGCATACATAGGCATGGTTTAGATGTAGGTAAGGTAGGATGTAACCATAGATGCCCAGGTTCTGTGGAGCCTTGTTTATGTCTGAAAGTTTCAAGTGAGCTCGGTTATGAATACAAATTTAAAACTTCTGGAAGGGAAATATGTGTTTGGCATGCGTGGTGAGACGATATCAGGCAGGAGCGACAGATTCACATAAAATATGGGAAGAGGGAGAGAGTGAAAAAACTATGCTCGAAGGGTGTTGCTTTGCAGCGAAACTCGGTAATTTTAGCACAATGTAGTACGGTGCAGTCATTAAACTTGTAACGAACAAGTAGATTCTCTTTCAATGGTGAATGGCACTTGCTGCCAGCACTAGATATGGTAGCATACTAAATTTTTGGCGTTCTTTTTGAACTACAGATATGGCTCTTAGCGTCCATTAATAGGAGTGAAGTGAATAGACATAGACCCATTGGGTCATAGGTTTATGTTGCTATGCACAGGCCATAGGTAAGTGTATGCAGGTCAGCATTCTGGATAAGTTTGGTTTCTTTATTCAATGTGCTGGCATTGTATTTAGGAGCCTAAATTATGTAACCAGATGGTCAAGCACATACTGCACCATAAGCTGTTATGTGGTTCTCTACACTTTGCACGAACCTTCTGCCCTTGCAGAGATAGCCAATTTTTCCAAATATACAACACAGCCTTGATTCATTTACTATCCCTTTTGTTTCACCGAACATTCATTTGACTGATTACTCTACACTTTGCTCAAGCCTTCTTTCCTTGCCTGATGGATGACCAACTTTTTCAAGCTTATATAATGTGATCCTCATTCATGTACTATTCCTGTTCCTCCACTGCACCCTTATTTAACTGATATGCACACCCCTGAGCAATATATAACTATATTTGTCAGTACTGTGTAATTTGTTCAGGTTTGCTTGTGTATGTAAATGGTTGGTCATTTCAAATTGATTCCTTTGATATTTTCCCTGGGATTAATCATAATATGAGCTTGGTCTTATGTTCAGCTGGTTTTCTGACAATCAATGATCAGTGCCATTGTTTGATGTGCAAATGCACTGCAAGCGTAGCCACATGTGAGATATTATCAGTTCATTTCAAATGAAAGATGACATAATTTTGTTTCCTGACCTTTGGTTGTAATGCAAGGTTTGAGCAAGTCAATCTTTGAAAAGGTCTCACACAAGTACCTAGAAAAAGTCAATTTCAGTTCTGGGCAATTACATATCTATTCCTGCTTTAGTGAGGTAAGATATTTAGCTTACTGTGCATATATAAGTTATAAAATGATGCTGATTGCCATAAGGGCCTGAAAAGTAATCTCTAAAACTATGCCTTATCAGCATGGTGGCCTGTAATTGTGCATGTGGTAATTGTGCATGTGGCCTGTAATAGTTATTGGTCCACTGCAGTTGTGTTGGTTCATTACAGTGTGGGCTAAGGTGACAGTGTAGTGTAATATAGTGGTGTAAACTAATATTAATATTATTAGTGCACCATGACCAGTTTTGTTATATCTGCCATTTGTATTTATTATGCCTGCAATGGTGCATCAATACCACATTGGTTGCCCCGCAAGTGTATATGTGCCAGTATTTCATTGGTCGTGATGTTCTAGGTACCTGCAAAAGGATGGCAAGTGATTTCTTGGCACATCTAAAAACTTTGGAGGAACATCAAGTGCATGCAAGATGCAAGGAGCTGCAGGATGAAGTGCCCAGACATTTGGAGTCATGTGATGTTGTTCTTCAAGCACAAATCATTGATGCCTTTATTCAGAAAACAATTATTAAGGCATCTGAGTCAGAGGCTAAAAACATGTTTAAAATCCTGCTCCCACCCGCAATTAGAGCATGTGACAGTGCCTTTGAGGCTTTACAGGCTTGGGATAATGTTCAAGAAGTTTTGAAACTCATCTGGGTAAGAATAATCATGCATTTTGTTTATCTCCTTTTGATTACCATCTCCACAAGATGGTAGTCTTTGTAAGCTTATCGTTCAAAACTTGTGAGGCTATTTTTGCATTCCATTTTTATTTGCAACTATTTTTTTGGTATGCAAATGTGTTTTCCCCATTTATAAATATGGTCTGAAATTGGGATCTATAAGAAACTAGCATATGATGTACATCATGGTTAGCATGCAGTGTCTATATTATGTACACCTTCAGTTCAACCTGGTGACTGCTATTCCATTTTCAGACTCCCATTCATATTTTGGGCTGCATCTCTGCTTGCTGCCTACATGCACAAGACAAGGAATGGACATCCTCCTCTTTGATGACTGATCTTTTACAGTATGCCTTCCACAGTCTCAAAGCTACTTATTCACACTGCCAGGACAGGTACTGTTAAAGGTGTTCATCCCATCCCCATTGCCCTACAAGTTCCCAAATGTAATGGTCTGGGAGTGCTACTCACACTTCTAATGGGGCGCCGGTAGTGTAGTGGTTAACGCGTCTGCGTTAGCGAGTGCACGTCTGAGAAACCAGAGGTATGGGGTTCCATTCCCCGCGGTGCCCGCCATTCCTGCCAGGGTGAGAGGCAGGCGACGCCATATAGCGTCAGCAGCTGAGTGCGTCGTTAAGCCCCAATGACACACTCACACACACACTTCTAAATTGTAATTGTATGGTGCATAAAGTCTGAATTGGTCTTTCCACCATCATCTGTAATTTCATTAAATGTGACGAGGCAGGCGACGGCATATAGCCTCAGCAGCTGAGTGCGTCGTAAAGCCCCAATGACACACACACGCACACACACACACACACACACTTCTAAATTGTAATTGCATGGTGCATTAAGTCTGAATTGGTCTTTCTACCATCATCTGTAATTTAATTATGTGTAATATAACCCTGCATGTATCTTCACATCCAAAAACAAAATTTGTGAAATTTCAGTCAGGCTAGTCCGTGTCTCACCATCTGTGCCAGTATTCTAATATCCAGCCATTTGGGTGGCAGGGATGTCAATATTTTACATGCCATTGCACCCCAGCTTGGGATCTACTGCCGGTTGCCCCCCCCCCCCCTTGCTCAAAATCAGGCAATCAGCATTGAACCGGGTGGCGATCAACCCAGGATCTAAGTGCCACAGGCTTGACAAATGGGCTGGGCTGGTCAGATGTCTGGTTTTGGGGTCACAAAGCGATAGATTAGCACCCATGAATTGTGTATGGGGATGCCAGAGAGCCAAGATTCCGACAGCATGAATTTATATTTACATCCCACACACCCTACAGCATGAATTTTTAAATGCTGATCTGTGCTGCATGTTAGTATATTTATGCATGCTTATGTGATACTAAGTCTGCAGATCACCTGCAGTCCCTTGTCATGTACCGCAGCCCTCGGGCGTGCGGCCGTATGCTGGAGTCGGTGACCATGGTCCTGTCTGTTGTATACCGCAGCTCGCGCATGTACGGCAGCGTGCTGGAGTCGGTGAATGAGCCGCTCACACAGCTGTTCCGCGCCGCCACGACCCTGCAGGCACACCTCCATCAACTCTGCAGCTCTTTGGCCACCTCTGACGGTCTGACCGAGGACGACATGGCCTTGCTCACCTCAGGTGGGTCTGGGCCGGTCCGTGCTGACCCCAGGTGGGTCTGGGCCGGTCCGTGCTGACACCAGGTGGGTCTGGACCTGTCAGTGCTCACCTCAGGTGGGTCTGGGCTTGTCCGTGCTGACCCCAGGTGGGTCTGGTCCGGTCCGTGCTGACCCCAGGTGGGTCTGGACTTGTCTGTACTGACCCCAGGTGGGTCTGGACCGGTGCGTGCTCACTTCAGGTGGGTCTGGACTTGTCTGTACTGACCCCAGGTGGGTCTGGGCCGGTCCGTGCCGACCTCAGGTGGGTCTGGGCTTGTCTATGCTGACCCCAGGTGGGTCTGGACCGGTCCGTGCTGACCCCAGGTGGGTCTGGTGGGTCTGGACCGGTTCGTGCTGACTTCAGGTGAGTCTCGGCCTGTCTGTGCTGAGCTTAGGTGGATCTGGGCCGGTCTGTGCTGGCTCCGTGGTCACCATCGGATGCTGTGTGCTCCGGCTGTCAGCTGGTGGCGCTCCACAGTGTGCTGGAATATTTGTGTTGCCGTGCTCTCTTGTCGGCTGTGTCCTGTGTTGTGTGACCTTGTCAGCTGTGTGGGATGATGTTCGCTCCTGTCAGTGTTTCTCACGGTTTGGATCAGGGCCGACGCTGTGGAGTAGAACACGTTATGCAATCACATTCTCGTCCCAAATTGGATACAAATACTGGTGCATAGATCAATATAAGGTGTCGAATGTGACTGAAATAATGACAACTCCATTGCACCGTAACAAGGAAAACGTTTCGAAGAGGGCGGTAAATGACCTCGAGGTATCCCCTAAGCAGCTCAGCAGTAACCCGTGCTGCCAGTGTGTGACATTGCACACCCTGCTGGCAGTGCATGACACAGGGTACCCCTGTCATGAGGATGTGAAACTGTGCACCATCAGCTGCCATATGTCACATAGTCTTCCCCTGCTTTTAGTATATGATGCCGTATATCCATGCTGCCAGTGTAACATACTGTACGTCCGCTGCTAATGTGCGACGCGTGGCCCTTCTGCCGCATGTTACACAGCGTGTCACCTTCGGCAGTCTGTGACGACCTGGCGGTGACCGGTCGCCTTCTGACCAGGCTGGACGCTCGCGCCATGGCTGAGGCCTGGAAGTGCTACCTGCGCCTGCTCCAGCTACTGCCGGAGCGGCTGCCGGCCAGCGCCGACCTGCCACGGGCGCTGACCTTCATGGCCGGCGAGGTCACTGACCGCCTGGCCGAAATACGCCAGACGGCCGCCGACAAGGTCAGAACGGCGCCCTGTGGCGGCCTGCGAACGGCTGGCGTTTGTTAACCCGCGAGAGCGGAATTACACGGTGTTCAGAACATGGTAACCGACGCCTCGTTTTGCACTTGAATTGCTTGAGGGCATGCCTCGCTCCCGGGTTGTGTTTTATTTGCACCACACAGCGCAAGTCTTAAAGTGTCAGAATTTCACTATGTGCCATCAAACTGTGTAGGGTGTTTGCAATCAAAATGCGCGCAGATGAGCACGCATGAGCACTGGATACAGCACCGCATGCAAGTAGGATTTTCAGCGGGCATAATCCGTTCAGCGTTTGTGGTCCATGAACTCATTTGAATATGGACCCTGGTGTTGCAATGACATTAACGTATGTTTCATCCTCTGTCATGTGCCGCAGCTTGCAACGTTGTACCCGCTCCGCAGGCGTCTGGCGGTGACCAGAGCCGGCCGCTGTCGAAGGCGCTCAAGATGTGCGGCTTCTACCTGAAGCTGGCCGTCGGTCTGAGTGAGAGCTACACGGCGCAGGCGCGAGGCGCGTTCGGCGTTCTCACAGAGCTGGCGTTCACCCTCACCAGGCAGGTGCCCGACTCGACCCGTGTGTCTCAGCAGGCGCGTTCGGCGCTCTCACAGAGCTGGCGTTCACCCTCACCGGGCAGGTGCCCGACTCGACCCGTGTATCTCGGCAGGCGCGTTCGGCGTTCTCACAGAGCTGGCGTTCACCCTCACCGGGCAGGTGCCCGACTCGACCCGTGTGTCTCAGCAGGCGCGTTCAGCGTTCTCACAGAGCTGGTGTTCACCCTCACCAGGCAGGTGCCCGACTCGACCCGTGTATCTCAGCAGGCGTGTTCGGCGTTCTCACAGAGCTGGCGTTCACCCTCACCAGGCAGGTGCCCGACTCGACCCGTGTATCTCAGCAGGCGCGTTCGGCGTTCTCACAGAGCTGGCGTTCACCCTCACCAGGCAGGTGCCCGACTCGACCCGTGTGTCTCAGCAGGCGCGTTCGGCGCTCTCACAGAGCTGGCGTTCACCCTCACCGGGCAGGTGCCCGACTCGACCCGTGACCCTCGACCGACTCGACCCGTGTGTCTCAGCAGGCATCCTGAAGCAGCTGTATTTCTCGCTCAGCTCAGCAGCTGAGCCCCGCCAGTTGCTGCCTGTGTTTAGGTTCGAGCTGGTATTGAATTGCAGTCGGGTGGTAATCGCCATGTGTATGCTACTGGAAATGTTACCTGCTCGGTGCAATACTACGGCGTTAATGTTGTGTGGATTCGTTCTGCGTTAATACGTTAATGTGCGGAAGAAAGGAAAGGTAATACAAAGGGATTTTATCATTGCTGATAGATAGGGGAAGTGCCATTCCACCATTGTTTAACCTGACTGCGTACGGATCACCACAACCGATCTGCCAAAATTAGTGCCGTCGTACAGATCACCATAAGCGATCTGCCAAAATCAGTGCCATTTGGTCACGGTCATCCTGCTTACGGCTACTCTGTCTCGGCACTCCGCCGCCCCGTAGGTGCCACCAAATCGGTTGATGCTGTACCTCCTGCCAAGCAGATGACATGTAAGGCAGATGATGATCGTCTGGTGAGCTGTGTCATCACTGTACCTCCTACCAAGCAGATGACATGTAAGGCAGCTGATGATCGTCTGATGAGCTGTGTCACCACTGCCGCAGGTACTCCGCCCCCGACGCGCACGTAAACGACCTGGACCCTGCTGTGCTCAGTCAGCTGAGCAGTCAGCTGACGGTGGCCGCCGAGCCGCTGCTCTTCAGCATGATGGAGGATCAGGCATACCCAGAGGTGAGCAGTGATGACCATTTAGCAATCTTCAATTTTTTCATGGATGATGGGCATACATTGTTTTGCGTCGTAGTAGGATCATGTAATTATGTAAAGTTATGTAGAAAATAAAATTAGGTAGGATTATTAATTGATACATCTTGACTGTTACTGCATTTTTCTTTTGTTTTGTCTCAGTCGTCTTGTCATTATTTTACTTCGTCGTTATATACATTTACTGATATGCACGCTTGCCGCCAATTATGTTATGTCGATCGATTACCAGTGATGCGGCAGGGGTGATGATGAGGCGCGGATGGCGCCCGCCGACGGCCAGGCGTTGAGGCGTGGTCGCCACACACAGCTGCTCGCTGCCACGTCGCCAAGGTTTCCCAGACCGGACCTTTGACCGGACAGACCGGACCTCTCACCCAGCTCACTGTCTGATCTGTGCTGCGCCGCAGCCGTTCTGGGAGGCCCTGGACGCCAGCGAGGCTCTCGGGCCGCTCTGTCGGCTGCGCTGCTGCCTGGCGCTGGCCCGCCGGTGCTGCCACCTGCCGGAGGCGTCACGAGGCGTGTGGACGGCCGGTGCCGACCGGCGCCACCTGGTGGCCGCCGCGCTGGACCTGCTGCCGCGCTGTACGTGGAATCCGTGTGCATGACGTGTGGTGGCCGACTAAATAGCGAATACGGGAGGGGATGGGTGCAGTGGGACGGCTGGCAATCGTGATTGCGAATGCGTACTTTGCTCACAACCAGGACTGTTGTTTATAGCAAAGGAATTGGTGCAGAGGCGTGGCCATATAACCATAACATTTGATGCGGCCGGCAATGGTGCGGACGCAGGTGGTGTGCAAGTGTTCAAAGTGTACAGTTTCCTTCATTGTCTGCATACAAACATACAGTGCGACTTACCTCGACACCGTGATACGCAGTGGAGCGAGCGCTTCCTCATGCCAGCCGGGCGGGGTGTCGGCAGGTGACGTTGAGCTGGCCTGCGGCGCGCCCGTGGAATCCGATATCCACAATCGACCCCGGGTCAGCCTGTACGAGCACACCCTGGTGTCGGTCTGCGCCCTGGTCGGTACGTGCCCGGGGAGACTCCACGGTCGTGGCGTGGCCTGGGAGGCTCTCTCTGGCCGGTGCGTGTGCCGGGGTGGGCCGATCGCGAGCTGGGCACCTGCCGTTGGGCTGGTTCAGCCGTCAGCGATGCTGTGCGTTTTGTGGGTTTGCTCTCTTTTGGCTTGTACCTCTTATGCTGAACGGTGTCCAAGTGGCGCCCGCCGTGTCGCAGGACATCGTCCTCCCGGGTCCTGTGGCGATGCGAGCCGCAGCCGATGCATCCGCTTAGCGTGTTACTCTGTTTAATCCTGCCGATCTTCGACAGGGGTTCTTTGAAATGCGAAGCATGCAGTACCCGTTCCCTGTCGTGAAGCCGGTCTGCGGTGGCGATTGGCCACTGACTGTCTGTGCCTGCCGGCAGGGAGCCTGACAGCGCCCGAGCTGCGCGCTACCGAGACACACCTGTGGCGCCACCTGTGCCAGTCTGGCGTCTGGGGCGCGCTTCTCGCCGCCGACGTCCTCTGTTTTATCGCCAGGCTAGTGCTCTCTGTGTGCCTGGAGTGTTAACTGATGAGGGCCTCATCCACTGCATCAGTAATTGGGTTGTGATTTGTCTAGTGCGTGGGGGGGGGGGGGGGGGGGGAGGATATGCATGTACACTACAGTGTCTCTGATTCGAGACTGTTTGTCTATTGAATAGCGACATCAAAGTATGTATGCAAGATGCGATTGTCTTCTTTGATTAAGAAATGATCCGCAGGCGCTACTTCAGGAATCAGGGAGGGTTAGCTGGCGCGCATCAGACGCCGTTGGCCAGATGGGCGAAGTGTCGTTACGTAAACCGCCCTGACGGCTCATACGGCACTGTATGCACGCGTACGGTATGGGACACTGCGCATCTCTGCCGCCTGCACCATGGTCGGTAGAGGGGGGGGGGGGGGGGCTGTGTCGCGCCCCCTGTCCATGTCGTCATCGTTCCCTGCCTGCACAGGTACGGCCCCGCCGAGCTGTGCAGGGACTACTGCTCGGCGGCGGCCGGCGCGCTGGCCCGCCGCCGCTCGCCCGCCCTCTGGCGGCTGCTGCGCCGACTGCGGCCACTGCTGGCCGACCAGCACCGCGCTCAGCTGCTGCGCGCCGGCAGCCCGGCGGCCGACACGGCCGCGCTGCTGCGCCGGGCGCTGCCGCTGGCCGAGCGGCCGGGCAGCCTGACAGGGCCAGAGCTGCTGCAGCTGGTACGGCCGCCGCCAGACGCAGTTTGGCCACCAGTGGGGCGTCACTGGCGCCGGTAGCGCGCTCATTTTTGTATACAAACGACTATTACGTGACTCATGCCTCCGCCATGTTCAACAAGTGGGATACGTTCCTGAACTGTTAACTGCCAACTGACTTTTAACTGAACTGTCAAATCACCAACTTAACTCTGACGCACTGATTTAGACTCCCGAGGTGTGTTGTTTCAACAAGTGCGATCGCCTCCTTCAGTGTCACGTTTGTATTCACTCACGCCCTGGCCTTACAATGAAGCCATGACAAAGCAATGGTGTGGCCATTACGCGAGCGCATGGCAAGAGGGTGTTGTGTTCTTGCCCTGTGCCAGCACATGGCAAAAACCACGAGCCAGCACCGGCTGCCGCTCTGAGAGGTGGTGGCCGTTACAGACGGACGCGCTGGGTACGGCGGACGTGGCGGCGGCTGCGCAGCTTGTGCCGGCCGAGCTGGCCTCCCTGGAGCGGCTGTGGGCGGCGCTGCCGACGACTGTGGCCGGTCCGGCCGCCGGCATGCTGGCCGCCGCTCTGCTGACGGCCACGGCGGCCCTGGCCGACCGGCTGACTGACGCACGGCTGGCCGAGGTCAGGACGGCTCCTGGCCGGGCTCGGGGCCGCGCTCGGGACAACGCTCGGGGCCGGGCTCGGGGCCAGGCTCGTGGCCGGGCTCGGGGCCGGGCTCGGGGCCGGGCTCGGGGCCAGGCTCGGGGTCGGGCTCGGGGCCGGGCTCGGGGCCGGGCTCGGGGCTGGGCTCGGGACTGGGCTCGGGGCCGGGCTCGGGGTTGGGCTCGGGGCCGGGCTCGAGGTCGGGCTCGGGGTCGGGCTCGGAGCCGGGCTCGGAGCGGCTCCTACCCACACACTGAATATGTGGGTAATCGGCGTTATCGGCACCGGGAGGGACGCCCCTGCCGTGGGACAGGACACGGGCAACATTACTGTGATGTGTTTGCTGTGCTAATGAAGCTTGCCGTCGTCTGCTGTGCTCGAAAAGTGGCATCCCTCGCTCGGAGATTTTCCACTCCTCAGGAAATATTCCAGTGCATGCCGCTAATTCGAGAGCTGCTACGTTATATAAGATGAATCCTGCGTCAGATCTGAATGGTGTGAAATAAAATTCAGCTTTTGCTATAGCTTTTTGTCATAATTTAATATTTTTTAATATTAATAACATTTTGTTAACATTTCAAAACTTATAAGGTTTTGAAATGGTAATTTTTATCTCGCATTTCAATTATGGGGTTTTTTGCTCACCAGTCCAGTAAGCGAAACCAGGACTGAAGTCCAGCGCTGTTGGTCTGTCTCAGCGGCGTGGTTCTTTGCCTCAGGTTGTGCGGCTGGCTCTGGGCTGGCTGCCTAGCTGCAGTGTGCCGGTGCGGCTGGCCGTCGTCACTCTCCTCAGGGTCACTGCAGGTCGAGAGCTCCGGCCCGGACCCGGCCGCGCCGTCTCGGCAGATGTGCTGCCCGGTGTGTACATACCTGGGCGGCTCGCTAGGTCTAGAACCAGCATGTCGAGCTAATTGTACCATCACAATGCTGCTGCTGTGTGGGCTGTTGCTTTGCAAGTAACGTGAAACATCGGTTGTGTTCAACGTATTTTGAACCAGACTATTTGTCAGCAAGCCTTTGCATGATTTTCCTTCCGCAATGATGATCCCTCGTGCTAATCAGTCCGATTCATTTCTGTAGCAGCCATGTATATATATATATATATATATATATATATATATATATATATATATATATATATATACACGTACATCCATACTGAGTGATTGTCCTTCCCGTGGTGCATTACAGATCTCGTCTCGTAATCACACATTGGCCTTTACCGGTACATGTGTTGTGCGTTTGACACGCGGACGCTTTTCATGGCGTCACTGCTAACCAAGCGTGTGGTGGTGCTCTCCGCAGAGCTGTACCGATGCCTGCTGACGGACGGGGATCGACTGGTCCGCCAGCGCGCCCTGGAAGCGTTCGCCAGCTTCGCGCGCGCCACGCCGCGCCCGGAGCTGATGGCGGCCGCCGTCGCGACGCCGCCCGGTCTGCAGGCTCGGGTCAGCGGCTACCTGCGCCTGATGGCCGGCCGGCCGCTCGGCCCACCAGCGCTCTGTGGCCGGCTCCGCGCTGCTGCTGCCAGCCGCCGCCGTCGAGAGGCCTCGCCGTTCGGACGGGACCCCGCCGTCGGACCTCCCGGCCCGGCGGACGGTGCTCCGGCCGGCTGCGACCAGTCGGACGGGGCGTGTCGGCCGCAGGAGGGGACGGGGCGCGCTGACCCGCGGCACCAGGACTGCGGCGCTCGCACTCCGGCCGCTGCGGCCGGTCCGCAGGAGCCGGCGGACGGTGTGGACCGCCCGGAGGACGGCCGCCCCGGAGCGCGCCGGGCAGCCGGCAGGTCCAGCCTGGCCCAGATGGACCTACTGGCCGACCTCGACGCCGAATACGAGGCCCGCGAGGCGACCGACGTCATCGGCCGGATAGAGGCGCGACTGCGGCGGCTGCGAGAGGCGGCCGCTCCGCCGGCCGACGCCGGCAGGCTGGTGGCCGTGCTGGCCGAGGTGGAGACGCTCCTCGGCTCGGTGTAGTGGTCTGCCGCCGGCGGGTAGCGGCGGCGGCGGCGGCACTGGCGGGAGTGCCAGTCCGGTCACCAGGCACCTGCTGTAGTGTGAGCCTTCATATGTGAATATTGCGACTGTCTCTCCACAGTTTACTTTCAATACATTTTGCGGCAGTGTAGCCATAGGAATGGGACAGTAGTTGGGAGATGTAGTTTCTGCGTGTTTTCTGGCGTCTTATAAGTAATGTTTCTTTTCCGGCACGAAACGTGCAGTTAATAGGAGAGGTTGTGTTAAGTGCTCTCAAAAGGCTGGATCCGATATGCATCTGATCGCAGCGACCAAGAGCGTCCATCGGAGCGACGACTAAAACCGTGATGTTCGGTGTTTTGGTGGTCTGGGGTAACGAGAGCATTCCTGAACATTCCTATTGTAGCTCACCACAGGCCTGGCGGTTGGCCAATGGCTGCCACGCACGATCCTTGAAGGCGGGGAAACAGCTCAGGTCTAGGAGGAGAGTAAATTCGTTCTGAGGTCTTTTTCGATGTGGTTAGCAGGGTAGTAGTTTTGCAAAATAAGTTTGCGGACTCAACAGTGGAAATCATAAAAACTGTTCCAAAATATATCAACAAACGAGTTTCTTCAAAGATTTTGCCCACTTTCTTGCCAAGGTTCGAGGCTAGAGCTCAGGTTAGAGGGCTGAAGCACCCTCCCCCGCTCAATGGACGAGAAACTACACCTCTGCCCACTCGTTTGATCAACTGAATGGCATAAAGCCCGAATTCCAAATACTCGCAACAACTCTTGTAGCAGTCACAAAGTGGAGCAAGCAGTGACCAACAGTTAACATGTGTCACACTGTCTTCAGCCCGCTGTGTGCTGCATTCCATCACCATGCCGCATGACCGGCGGCATACTATAGCCGTCAGCGGCGAGTCGGCCTCGCCACCCGTCATGACCCAGCTGCGGTACTTCGGCGCGGCTGGAAGCTCGCCCGAGCGGGGCGGCAGAACACTCGGCTGGACGTTCGTACTCGGCTTGGTTTGGGCTCCTTTTGCGACGTAAATCTCAATGCCGGAGGTAACATAGAGTTGCCGCAACGATATCCTCCACTTCTACCTCTCTGCTCTTTCCTTTGGCCGTGCAATGATCACTGTTGCCCTAAAAAGTTTTAACCCGCAGTCAAACCAACAACAGCAAACAAATGTAGCAACAGCAGCTTGTGCGAGCAGTCAAAGTGCCGTTCGTAGTCGCCAACCGGGATCTGGGAAGGGTAGCATCCGTGGAGCAGACTACTCAAAGAAGGTGGCTGCCGTGCTCCAGAACGATTTCCCGGATGACGCTCAGCCCAGTACTATTTCACCGAGTGTGGAAAACACGACTTGTCACGAAACAGCCGCCGCGACTTAACCTTACTCCGATCAACCGTGCACTTGGAACACGTCGCCTAGCTTCTGCTACATTGCTTCTGGGTGCTGATTATAATTGGGAATATCAAAGCAGTTTGTAAGATAGTGGTCACCCTAAATGACTTAAAGTCAAGGAGGGTTGCTGATCTAAGAATACCAGTAGCCTTTTACTTATAGGATGTATCTAAATTAGAGGTGGTTGTGGAGGAGGTCTCAGGACAATGCGGACCTCAATCTTAAGTTTGACTTGATTTACTTCATTTCAACCGAATGTCATAATCAAAGGATCACGCCATTTGACGAGATTGGGTTCACATAGAGCATTTGCTATTGACGTTTTTAGCTGCCTTCGTTTTAGAGGCCTCGGTGGGTCAAATTAACACTCCCCGAGCGCGTGGTCCCAAACCGGCCACCCGGTCGCAGCATCCCTTCGTAAGGCGATGAGGAAAAACGCCCACAAGGAAGGGTGAGAGGCCCCCTGTACAACACACTAGCAACAGTTAGGTGCATGAACATTCGACTTGAGGATATGCTACTATTTAACATTCGAGTATATGGCATTTCGGCAAATAAAGATTCGACGAAAACACATTTCGTGAGTTAATATTCTGTAAAAGAACACTTCGGCGAATTGGCATTCGTTTCAAGAAAGTTTCGACAAATGGACATTTGAGCAAAGGAAATTTTGGCATATTTAAACGTGTGTTGTGATCTATCAACATTTCGTCAATTTGACACTCTGGCAAAATGCCGTCCGACTTTTAGCGTTGATCTTCATTGACACAGGGACAAAAAGACGCGCCGACAAGATAGCATTCCGTTAAATGCAGTCAGCTTTTTGGGGTGGGGTCCAAATACATGCCAGTTGTCTTTCTGGATGCCGATTGCCGACAACCGACCGATCTCGTATAGCAAGGCTGATTTAATTGGTCAAGACCGTGCGCCATGATGATGAAATTGTAATATTCCCGTCTGTGATGGCAGAAACTCATCGCACGAAGAAAGAACCACGGCTCGCCAAACCGCGCGTTTCGTGTTTGTACAGCTCATGCTGTGAGAACATAATAAGGTTATGTCGAGCATCGGTACCTTATAGGTAACATCCTGCTGGTTCCTAACAATAGTCCGCAAAAGACTATCCTGTTTCACGTTACCCCGGCGGAAGTCGTGAGGCACATTACGTCCCGCCAATGCAGTCTTTTTCCTATTGTAAACGAGAATTAGCGATTTTCGACCTTATTCAGCCATAATGCATGTAATGACATCGTGACAACTGATCTAAAAAACCGTGTTCAGTCATCGGGTTGACGGGCCCGCGATTAACCAGCATAGATAGGTGTCTTGTCAGCACATTTATCTTGGATCACAGCAACGTTTAGAACCAATCGTTTAACCATCGTGACAGGGTGTTAATATGATGCAATTTTCAACATCACTACTCCATGCAAGTCCTGTACCGTCCACACCACCTAAGTCACGAGCCCATAATGCTACACCGTGTCAATCATTTTAAGCTCATCTCATTTCTGTTACCCTGGTTCCTTGGCGAACATTGTGAGTGACAGAATGAGCCAAAATGCGAGCGAGCCGAATGTATTTTTCCTCAGTTTTTCTTTAATTTTCGGAACAGGATAATCTATCGGAAATCCTTATGCTCCAGACCCTTCGTATACCAAAATCACATATGTAATCACATTTAAACAAAATATTGATTATGTGGTATTTTTACACAACATTTCACGCACACGTATGGCGTACTCAGAAAATGGGCTTTAGATATGCGCTGGTCTTTACCTAATGCCTAATGTGACTATCGTGTCTGGAGCCACTTCTCGTCCGTTGCGCAGGAAATATCTCAGAAAGTTTTCAAACCTGTATTTGTTGATGCATTGTTTCCTGACAAATACCGCGCGCGCATTGGTATGCCTACCGCCGTTCTATGGATCATGAATTAATCACCTCAACCAATATTCTTTATGAAACATCGTGAAAACACGTGACAAGTTGGTGGCTGCGCGTCGAGCCGTTTTAGCTCGACACCTGGCGGAGAGCTTGTGACCGAAATTCCGCTGTGGACCCGCTGGCAGACAGTGTCTGACCCCCGGCGCCAAGCACACAAGACAAGACACCGGGGCGATCGGTGCCGGGCGGCCTACTTGCCCAGGATGATCTTGCGGCCGGCGCCGATGTTCTGGCCGGCTTGCGAGGCGCCCTGGTTGGTGCCAGCCTGCAGGCCGATCACCGTCTTGCCAGCGGCGATCGTCTCGTCGTCAAACTCGCGCACGTTCGCTTCGGCCGGCTTCGGACCAAGCCAAGGCCCCTTCCACTCGGCGTGGAGGTACGTCTAAAACGTGGCGGAAGTGAGCGTCAGCGCGTTACTTCTCCCCCTCCCTCATCATCCCACTGCTGTGTTGACGGCCGGATAGTCCCAGCTCAGCCCCCCCCCCCGCCGGCCACTGGGAGGGCGACAGCAGGTGGTAACCGGTCTACTTTCCGATGATGATCTTGCGGCCGGCGCCGAAGCTCTGGCCGGCCTGCGTCGCCACCTTGTCGGAGCCAGGGCCGGCCTGGATGCCAATAACGTTCCTGCCGGACGCCAGGGTGTGCTCGTCGAACTCGCGCACGTTCGCCTCGGCCGGCTTGGGGCCCAGCCACGGTCCCTTCCACTCGGCGTGGAGGTAGCTCTGCGGGCGGAGCGGCCGGCCTCGTCACGGAGGGCCGAACTCTCCGACCGGAGCGGCGGACAGACGGACAGACGGCACTGGGCGCTGCAGTCGGCGGCAGTGTAAGCCCGAGGGACTTCCAGGTCCGAGGGACGGATGGTTTCCAGAGAGGTAGGACAGTGACGGGACGAAAAAGTTCATTCGCGGCCGATGACAACCACTGGGGTACACGAAAATAGCGGTGCAGGCTCAGGAGATGCGCCTAGAACGTGCGCAGGTAAAACCAGCTCATGCACGAAATGTACATTGGGAAGTCCAGCGCAGGGGCAACTATGTCTGGCCTCAAACAACAAACGACAATTACTGAATCGACATGCATTTTTCTAGACGAGTATCCTCGCCACATGGAGCGATAAACAACAAATGACAGTGGTCTGACATTGACTGTGCTCCGTGGCATCCAGCACACACCTGACGGCCGAGCGCGAAGATGGAGTTGGTGACGGCGGCAATGTCCTTGCCCTCGAACAGGTCGGCGGTCTGGAAGGCGTCCACGTCCGTGCAGCCGTAGGCCAGCATCGCCCTCTGGAAGCTGTGGATCACGACAGGTCAGGGAAGCTGTCACTGGGCATCTACGACGGCCAGCCAGACAAGGTTATCAAACTTATCAAACCTGTCATGGCCCGCCTGTCACCACCTGCCAAATACGTCACGGGCCGCCTGCGTCAGCCAGGTGACAGCAGCGAAAGTGACGTAATAGCCCCTGCGTTTTGCTATCGGGATCGCTCAACGATTCATCTAAGACCACTGGCCCAGCATATTTCATGATTCATGAATAGCATAACTGACGTCGCAATATTTCATGCTGGGTGAGACGGCCTCCGGACGTCCGTCAGGGAGGCCGGCCAAGGTAAGAGTGATGCGATCCGCAGCACAGTGTAACTCCAGACCAGGAGTCCAGCTGATAACACATCGACGGATGCTTACTTGTTGATGTTCTCCATCATCTTGAAGGAAGTACCGGTAGGTGTTGATCTTCTTGATGGATCCGGGGGCAAGCTTGTTGATGAGGTTGCACAGGACGACGCCGTCCCTGCAATGGTTGGCAATAATTTATTCCGAGTGACCTTTAGGATCAGCACGCAGGACCAGCTCGTTGTAGCCCGTGACACGCTAAAACGTGCTTGGCATAACATCTTGAGTTATAAATACTGCTGACTTGGCGTCAATGCCTCTAGAATATGCACGAAAACATCATGTCATATATTTCCTTGCCGATCACGAATATTGACGTATATCAAGCATCTCTCAGCTGCAAGCCAGGGATGAAACTCACTCGCGTTCCAGAGAAGGTCGCGAAACACGAAATCATGGGATATATTTGGCATTGGAAACCCCTTTACTCGCATGAATTGCGACATCGGTAATGCAGAGCAAGGCCCACTGACGACTGGTTTGACTAGTTAGCAGTTCCGGCCACTCCGCTGGGTGGCCCTTTGCCTGCAGGGTAGCGCCGACAGCCACTCGAAATTTCCAGAAATTCTCCTCACTTAAGGACCGCGGCATAGTCGGCGCCAGCGGGCCACTTCTCGCCGGTGACGGCCTCGATCCACTCCTTGACGTCGGCCTCCAGGTGAGGCTCACGACGTCCAGCAGTCTGGAAAACCGGTCAATCGTCAGGTCAGATGCCGGAAGCGGTGGTTAGGGGTCTGGGACGTCCGTCAATCGTTAGGTGAGATACCGAACACGGCGGTCAATAGCCCGGGATGTCCGTCAATCGTCAGGACGTGAGATACTGAATATGGCGGTCAGTGGTCTGAGACGTTCGTCAATCATGAGGTGAGATATCGAACGCAATATATTCCGCCAGGCTGGAACGACCTCCAGTCGTACCTTTGAATACCGAACGCGAAACCAACGCGATAGTTTAGTTACCGAGCTGAAAATTTGGAGCCCAAAACGCTGAAGAAGGGTTGGTGCGGCCACCAGGGAAGCAATCGGTGTCCCGGAGGGCCTTGGGACCATCCCTATTGATGGCATTTTCGGCAGCCTTCCAGGCGTGGCTCATTAGCTGTCAGCTCCTGGCGCGTGATCCGGTGTCTGGCCTGGCCAGCCGCCGGTCCGCCCCCGCATCTTCAGGCGCTATCTCCGGGCCACTTCACGCCAGGGCTGACGTCACGCGGCTGGCCATGAATCACCGCCGCAGGCGACCGCCGGAGGCGATATTTTTAGCCCCTCCCCAGACTGGGTCACGCCACGGAACCCGGCAGCGCGGCGAGAAATTTGTGCGTACAAGCGGAACGTTTTAACCGGGTGATGATCGGACGGTGGTGACTTGTGACGATGGAACGATAACGTGAAGGATATAGAGTAAGCTGAGGCAAACCAATCGCCTCGAGAACGTAGCGATGATGGAACTCGGCTGCTGGTGCATGACGAGCACCACAGAGCCGCTGCTCCAAAAAAACACGTTAATAAGCGCTGGCACAGACGAACAGACGCACTCTTTTATCGCAAGGTTGAAACGGGCTGGGAAGTTTTCCGTAAGCTTCTATTTCATTCCAGCTACAGTGAACTTCACTGTGATTCCGCTCCCGTTTTGCCAAGCACTGATACATACCCAGAACGTATTACTTCGTTTTGTTGAAAGCACAGTGCTACCAACGTGAGCGAGCTTTGCCTATAATTCACACCCGTCTCGAGGCAATACTGTGGTGGGACGCTAAACAATTCTGAGCCATACGCGGCCTGTCGTGGTCTTTAACGTGCACACATACCTCCAAACTAATATCACGACACAAGTGAGTTGTGCAAGCCTGCTGTCTGGCTATGTGGGACTATCAAAACATCATCGGAGATATGCATTTGTCGTACTGAAGTTGTCATCAGTTCTTTTCGAGCCAAGCCGAAATGGTCCGTAAGCTTCCTGCTCGACAAGCCATAGGTCGGCTATTTTTGTAACTTGGATGCGCCATGAGGAAGCACCCCTGTCCAGCACATGCACACAGTTCACACCTACACAGGCAGGCTTCAGTAGGTGTCAGCTGTCGACCTAATAACATGTGCTAACTGTCTGCCTGACAGCTGACGGCTTGACAGCTGTATCTATTTGACAGGGCCGTCGTAGACCGTTTTCGACGTGGTACAAACGGTCAGACCAATGAGGAATCGACAGCTTTAGAACGCAGGAATAGGGGACAGTCATTGGCGGAGACGAAGGAATTCACCCGTGACCGAAAAGACTCTTTGGGATGGACAAGCCCTGACACACACACACACACACACACACACACACACACACACACACACACACACACACACACACACACACACACACACACACATCGGGTTCTTGGATCGGGCGCATCCTCACGGGAAATCAGGGTGTCATTAGCAGCCCTGGCCAGGGCCAGCGGCACGTCAACATCAGCTCTTCCTGTCAGACCCGCCAGCCGCGTACCAGTCGGCCCCTCCCCCTCGCCACTCGCGTACCAGTTGCCCCCCCCCCCCCCCCCCGCCGCGTGCCAATCGCCTCTTGAGGAATCAGCCTGGGCCTGAGCCAGCGTCAAGCGCGTTTCAAACACGACCCAAATGGCGCCAGGATAAATAACGGGAGTCCAGACTCAACAACCAGCTTCCACGTCCCCGCGGCTGGCTCGTTACGTTTGGGTAAAGACTTGCCTCCAAGCCGAAAGACATTTTTAAACACCCATTCCTCTCATGTCCCGCCATTCCTCTTTCATATGGGGCGTTGGTTCCTTCGAAATTGATTTGGCACATTACCACGACGGCTCAAAAGACTCATTAAAATTACAGATGAGTTGACACGTTTTGTAAAGCATGGTGATGGCCTGATGGCTACACTTGGCCGAAGTGAGCTACACTTTAAACTCTTTACAAGCCCACGTACACCGCTTGATAGACATTGCTAGGTGAAAGGCTATCTTTTGAAGAGGTGTCAGGACCTGACGTTTAAGCAATTGGGCCATGTCCAACTCCTTGAAGCGTTTTGCAGATGTGCCAACGGAAACACATTTCCGAAGTCAGCTTGGCTGATTCATCTCCGGCCTATGTGCACGTGCGTGGCGCCGCACCCGAAATTCAGGTCACGGCGAGTCCATGCGAAAGGAATTTGGAGGAACCTGATGCTACTAACGAAGACGCACAACAGGCATCAGGCATCTGCTCAATGCGGCACACTGTATCTGTACCTGTATTTGAATTGACGAAGGGCTCAAATAAGAGGAGAGGCGGGGCAGCAGAGAAAAATGCGCGAAGGGCTCCCCAGCTGTGAGAAGAAGGTGGGCCTAATTCGGAAAGGAACCGATGTGTGTGTGTGTGTGTATTTTGCGGGAGCTTTTGTCATTTTCCCTACTCAACCCCCAACCTACTCTTCGAAACTACACCGCTGTTGTACGGGTAGGGTAAAGAGTTGCGCGTGGGATAAATGACCGGACGAAGCAACTTAAAGCAGTTCGGCACTACGTCCGAGCTGTCAAAACACGGCTCCCGTGTAGGCCCAAGTATTTGCGTTTTTCCTGGAGGCGCGCCTCGGGCGGCGCCATGCTCGCACCAGGGCGAGACCCAGCCCGCGCGGTCCCAGGTGGCGCTGGCGTCGCGCGGAGGCGGGCCATCGAATGGTCCCGGCATGTATCAGCGCTTGGAGCGGTCCAAACAGGTACCGGGCGGGCGGGTAGAGGTCAGCTATTCATAGCCGGAGGCGGCGCGGCTGGACCAAACCAGGGTAGCGGCGGCCCGGCGCGCAGCCGCCCCGTAACGCGAACCAGCCGCGGGCTCGTGCACGGGGGTGGCACTGATGACCCAGAATTGGCGTTGTGGGCGCTGAGATGCTGCCTCCAGAACTCGACCGGTGTCTACGTGATGGCTGGGGCTGGAAATGCATTTCTGTCGCCCAGAATGATGATATATGATGCTCAGAAAATGGAACAAGCAGATAGCTAGGAACTTGGTTTGACAATACTTGGTGAGTAAAGTGACAATTTAATGCGGTGATCTGCAACATGGATAATCGAGGCCTTGCTCGGACTTCATAAAGATGCGTACCTCACCGATAACAAAAGTGTCTGAATGCAGCCCTATTTCAACGACAGATCATGTTTAGATACATGGCAGCCAGGTCATATTTCAAATCATCCAATAATGATCGGTAAATATTATCGCCATTCATCTTTTTTAAATGCAAAACAAAGAAGCGTTTGATTGTTTGAAAACTATAGAACAAGGACATAGCTCTTAACGACGAATGTGAAAAATATAGATGAAAGGATATCACCGTCACGGGCAAGGTTTGCTGCTTTAGCGAGTCACTTTGGAGATTGGTAGGCAAAAGCCAGATTGCGAATTCAGTTAAGTGGAGTTGTCGACTCCAACGGAGTATCAAGTAACCGCATCACGCGCTCTGAATTGGTCGTGTAACAACGATGCATGCATTAGAGCACAGTATGCACTCATCCCGTTCAATAATTGTCCACATTGCGGCATTTATTTTGTTGAACGTTTCCCTGGACTACCCCACTCAGGCCGGCCGTCGTGACACCGATTCTCGGAAGACGGTCAGGGGCGTGCGCAGCACCCAGTCCTGGGTGGAACTATGGTGGAAAGGCGGCACCACTCTCAAAAGTCAGCATAAAGAGGGAAGACGTCCGCCTTTCAGTATTGTATCAGGATGGCCACTCTCCCCGGCCTCCTCCCTGGATATGCCCATGCGTTGCGACAATCCCCTCTCTCGGAACGCGGGGGAGGAGAACTGACGGGCACCTGCCAACGAGACGCCACTCTACTTTAGGGAGTCTGGTGGGCGAGCCTCTCACCACATTTAGCCCATATCCAAATGGCAAGGCATAGCGGACACCGGGGTTTGCCTTTAGCCTACCTTTGTTGGGAAAACGGGGAGGTGTGTTTGAGAGAAACATGTTCTTTGACTCAACCACACACCAAATATCATTATTGATAAGACTCGATACTCTACCTGGTAAAGGATTTGTCTTTGGCCGCTGAGGTTCTAGATTTCGAGGAAATTTCGAGATGGACCCGCATCAACAAAAGCAAGCCTCCTGCTAGTATCCATCATACATGTCTTATGCATATATGAGTTCCGTAGATATGTGTTAATGTCAGAGGTCAGAATTTGTTGGCCAATGAATACGGATACGTCTGCCGAGGTGGGAGGCTTCTGCGACACTGAACACGACGCTCGCGGAGATCCGGCTGCCCGAAGAAGGGTCGCTCAGGCTCGTGTTACCGTTTGCTTTACAAGCCAAGCTGAAAAACGCTTCGCAAAACACCGTGATCCCTGCCGCGTAGAGTTCAATGACCGATATTTACATTTAGGGGACCGACTCAGTCCTGCCAGATTTTTACCATCTCATCACTGAGCCGCTCCAGCTTAAGCGTTGAAATTCGATGGCATTTTCCGACTATGGAATTGGCATATCTTAATGCAACTTTGGCCCATATTGTACATTGCAGGCCTGCAGGGATGATTTAAGGAAAACGCACCACACTAAATCTTCGCTTTTTAGGGAGGTTCATTGCACATTTCTTCCGACACCGGAAAACCGATGCTGGACTGAAAGTGGTGTTTCATATAACTGAACGAATCATAAATGGTTGTTCCCATCGTCTTACAAAGCTAGAATGCTCTCGGGCGATCTGAAAGATTGTCGGCCAATGGCATTAACCCAACCGAACAAATATGGGTAAAGGCAGTTAACCGAGTGTATAGAGTAGGCTCGGGTAGGCTATTCTTTTGGTAGCAATGAGGCTGCGACAGCCCTGTGAAGTTCATTGTTGCAGGGGCTGAAGTACTAAATCGCAGGGGCGACAACATTACAGAAACGTGTGAAAAAGTGGCTATTGTGACACTTCGCCGGATGTGAATGATTGCTTTCGCCATTTTTCAGAAAACTGCCACCTGGTTCTTTTCAAAAAGCTTGCATACATGTGTACGATAGGATACCTTACGGACCTTCACCAATTGCAACATCGAAATACAGATGTACAAGACAGGTGCACATACTTTACCAAAAATCGAACAAAAAAATCGAATCTATCCCATTGTTGAGCCTCCCGAGTTGGCAACTGTCACTATCGAAAGCTTGTCAAATGCAAAAATATTTCGCACCGAAAAAACCTATTCGAGGCATTGCCTAGACTCAAAATAGTGTGTTTGACTAAAATGATGACAATATGAAAGATAAGATATGATAGATAAGATGTGAAACAGCCAAACCAGCACGGCTACTATAAGTTAAAAAGGAAATAATTATAACAGAATCGTTGATAAGTCATAACGATCAAATCGATTTTGTTTATTAAGCATGAACGTCCACAACATAGTCCGAAATGCACAATGCTGATATATGCTTATTAAGCCGCATTTGCAGTTTGTTGCAGACTTAAGACACTAGCGAGTGAACTGCATACCCACAATTATGCACGTTGAACGTGCCTATTTTACAAGTCGTTACGCATGAAGCCCTTTGGTTCTCACAGTGATGGTTGTGGTGGTGAGGGGGGGGGGGGCGGATAGGACGCGCCGACTACGAAGGTCGTTCTGCGCATAATTTGGCACTCATGAACGCAGTTGTGACTAAATGTAACACACAATCTATAAGCGCACAGTGATCAGCAAAGTCGTTGGCAGGTAAGATTCCTGTGACATAGAAGATGTCGCAGGAACTCTTACTGCACCATTAGCAGCGCTGTATGATATTCAGAAGCACCTCTAAAAAATTTTCTAAAACGCAAAGGTGACAATGGGAGATGGGAACAGCCACCTACCCCGACACGCGGCATGATCACTGCCCTTCCGACGCTGACGCCACACCCAGCTGACTCTCACGGTACTGTGACGGGAGTGAGGCTTCCGAGCCGCTGCCTTGGCTTTATAGAGGCTGCGCGTGACCGCTGCCAACAACAGCTTCCGGGCTGGGCCGGCGGTGGGCGTCAGACCGACACAGGCGGGGAACCGAGACTGAGACAGACGCAGAGAGGAAGACGAATACGCAGACACAGACGGTGACGGTGACGGTGATGGTGACGGTGACGGTGACAATGACTGTGACGGAGGCGGAGCGGAGACGGAGACGGAGACGGATACGGAGACGGAGACATAGACGGGGATGGGAATGGGGATGAAAGCCAAATTGAATGCAGAAGCGGAGGCGTTAACGGCAACTTAGACGCAGCGGCAATATGACGCAACGGAGTTACGGGGGAAGACAGATTCTCGATCCAGGAAAGACAGAGACAGAACATAAGACAGCGTCAAAGGTGAAAGAAAGCGCAGATGAACGCAGCGACAATGCCAAAGAAAGGTGTAGGGAGGAGAGACAGAAAAAGAAAAACGAAGATGGAGAAGACTAGGTGGAAAGAGAAATGAGATGAGGTCGGCAGTGGAGAGAGGACAGAGACAGGACGTGGATCTTGATGAGGATGTCATTACAAAGGAGAATACGGAGTCAAAGGCGTAAATAGTGACAAAAAAATAAGACAGGGATGGCATGGCAAAATACAGAACAGGGATGGCATCCGATAAAAAAAAAACAAGACGGATAAATAGAGAGACACGCAAACAGAGATAAAGACGAAAACGGAGGCAGAGGTGGAGAGACGAAGGCAGGAACGGGAACGTTCATTACTGCAGCGCTGGAGGGATAGAGATGTAGGAAGCGATGGAGAGGCGCGGACACAGGCGCAGGTGGGGATAGACATTATGTGTAGATACAGAGAAGCAGAGGCAGGGACGAAGGCAAAGACAGAGGAAGACACAGAGATTAAGACAGAAACAGAGACAGCGACAGAGATAGTACCTTGATGGGGCAGAAGCATAGTGAGAAGTAGAGCCGGAGGCAGACGCAAACATAGTGAAAAAAGAAGAGGCAGAGGCAGAACACGACACAGAGGAAGGACGCGGGCTAGAGAAAGAGTGGGAGAGAGAGAGAAAGAGAGAGAGAGAGAGAGAGAGAGAGAGAGAGAGAGAGAGAGAGAGGAGAGAGAGAGAGACGAGAGGAGAGAGAGAGAGGAGAGAGAGAGAGAGAGAGAGAGAGAGAGAGAGGGAGAGAGATAGAGAGAAGAGAGAGTAGAAAGAGAGAGAGAGAGAAGAGATAGGAGGAGGAGGAGAGAGAGAGAGAGACCCTTTATCCATCTCATTCCACTTTCAGCTACTGTGATTTACGTAAAGACTGCCACAACGTAATTGCGCATATTGCTTAATACATTCGGCAGAATCCAGTAATCCAGATATATGCGTATACCACTCGCTCGCATATCTTTTTTAAGTCATGGCCCTTAACGTTATCCCATGATCATTCCCTCGAAATTGGACCGCGTGGTTCTCTCTTGGTAACAATTTCTATAACACTGCCATTAACACTGCTACTACGGCCAAGCTTACCCACGGAAAGCCTTTTGGAAGTCTTTGGTGCTAGTCCGTCGTTTTTTGCAACTCAACTCGGAACGTTACTAACTGATTGCATCCGACCAAAGCAATGTAAGGCTAACGGGCAGCCTTTAACTCGACGCCTGCCGGAGGCAAAAATAATGCTTCGTCAATTTCAGCAGCCACTTCGATTTCCAGTTCATTCCGTCATTTGTGCAGCACATAGGTGCAGCTGGTCAACCTGCACGAATAATTTACGAATGCCAATCCAGTTAGCATGGGTCGCAGGCGACATGATATATTGTTAATACATAATGGCGCCTCTTTGGGGAAGCAGCATTATATATTGTTAAATTTAGGCAACATTGCGCTGTATTGTAAAACGGGTAGAAAAACGTAAATAAAGTTACAACTAGGGCTCTTGCAGTTCAGCTGTTCTGATTCTCACATCACACCTTAATTCCATAAAAAGCAAGAAGTTTCACCGCTTACTGCTGAAGACGCATGCTGATCAACATTTGATGATGCTTCTTACGGGCCTTCATCGGTGCACATTTTTGTCATATCAGCAATGTGAATATAGAAACATTTAACGATGTGACTTTCATTACGTGAGAGGCGCAATTTACATGTGTGACACGTGACGCATAACACGTGGAGTCCGGCCGTTTGAAGTTATGTCTGATCAATGGACATCGGCGCAGCGGTCTGCTGGAAGCTGTTGGCAGAGACAGCAGGAGCATTCCGACCGCATCATTCATCGTAGCGGTGGAGAAGCTTCCAGCATATTCTGCCACAGCTAAGGGCCTGGCAGTTAAATTGGCCGCTATTGTGAGTGAAACGCCAGTCTGGTTACCCCTTCTACAACATGCCAGGTGTGTTTGCAGATTTTCGATGAGTGGAGAAATGAAAATGTCTGGAAAATCAATTCAATGTGCTGCAGGCGTGCTAAATGGACTGAATGTTGTATAACAGCATCACGAGTTTACAATCATCCTGATTTCACATGTTTACCTCGAGCTATTAATTGCCAACAGTTATTGCACATGCGTGTTACACTATAACAAATACATTTCATACAAATTCCAATGAGCATAGAAAGAGAGAGAGAGAGAGAGAGAGAGAGAGAGAGAGAGAGAGAGAGAGAGAGAGATGAGAGAGAGATAGGAGAGAGAGAGAGAGAGAGAGAGAGAGAGAGAGAGAGAGAGAGAGAGAGAGAGAGCCCTTGGCTCGATACAAGGGGACTTATAAGCGTAGAGAAAGGGTATGAAATGCAACAGTTTGAATGATACGCACAGCATCAGAGAAACTTCACCGCTGCTGGTTGGGATTGTCCACGCATACAGCGGGCTGCTGATTCCCTTGATTTAGCGCCCCTCAGTCCCCTTCCTCAGTCAACTGATGACAGGATCACGTACGCGGCACCTAGCCTTTGATAGCACATTGTCGGTGAGCGGCTTAAAGCATACCCAGCCCAAGGGTTTGAGTTTTTCTAGTCCATATAGTGATGAACTCCTCCATCTCTCCCAGCGTTTCGGAGAAGTCACCGTAATCTCTCTGGCGCGATGCCGAACGCTGAAAAGGTCGGCCAGCATGGAATCCTGCCAGCAATCAGTCACTACAAAAGCGCTCTTGGGCAGAAGTGGAGCGAACCGAAACGGTGGTGGTGCGGTTCTGGGTCGACTGGATTTCAAACAATGCTGGGAGCGTATTTCACGCTCCCTTGCGCTTGAGGCATATGTAAGACAGTATGTGCGGTGTTCGTTGGGATGCCCTATCCCTTCTTGACGGCAGCGTGCCACGATGATCGGAGCTAGTCCCACGCACATGAAGATTGGTGCGGGCTTCTGGGGCTGCTATGCCGCCCGGCGAACCAGCCAATATACCGCTGCTCTTAACTGGTCATTCGGTGAAGAGAGGTGTCCTGTTCACACGAGCATATTAGCTGCACCACAGCCCAGTCCTGCAATACTACCCGAAACGACAGCTGGCTCTAGCCCGGGAGGACTGCGCGACCGGCAGCGCCGCCCAGCGGCTCCGCCGCGCAGCTCTGCCCTCGGTCGGCCCCCGGCGACAGCCCGTTTTTGTTGGCCGGCCGAGCCTGCCGCCGCGTTACCCGGCTTTACCCCCCGCTCGGGCGCGCCACAGCGCTGCATTGTCGGCACATACCGGGCCGCGGTGCTGGTGCAGGTCAAGCGCCTTATTGCTGGCGTCTGGGGCGCAGCTTTTAAAAGTCGTTTAGTGGCGGATTGAGCAAGAAAATGGCTAGACCTTCCTGAACATGCAGGAAAAACGTGTTTCTCTGCAGATTTCTTTTCCACTTCCACTTCCGTCACAAAGTTTGGGGGGAGCTTAAGCCCTTCTTACTGAAAACTTTCTGTCGGACATTCCTGGCGGCGGCAAGACGGGCCCGCAAAGAACGCTGCTTGCTACTATGAGTGATACGGCTGATCCCTATCTGGAAGCTTAGTAGTAGTATTTGTGGTTAAGGGGTGCGTCTACTACGCTGGTTATTTCGCGCCGCCGTGACAGAAAGTTACTGGCATGCAATGTACAACACTGCATTCTCATTTGGATTTTATGCGATGAGCCTTTTGGGTATACCATTTGGCCACTTCGCAGCCCATTTGTATGCCACTCATGATAACCGTTTGATTGTTCATTAAGCCCCTAACCGCCGTGATTATAAGTGTCGTGAATGAGTAAACGGTTTCTTACGTGACTAATGAAATTCGCGCTGCCTGGCATTTGAACCCCAGTCTTACGAACGTGAGCAAAACATGAGACCACTGATGAATAATGCCAAAGGTTTCACAGCTCCACTCAAAACATTTCGCCAATTCTAGATACCTTATAGATAGTAGATCTCAGAAACGTACGTTTGTTATCAGTTCCATTTCTTATCAATTTAACATATGTTTGAAAAGGTGGTACCGAAATTGTTGCTATCGACGGACTGTATGAAGTGTCGTTATGACAGCCTGTCATATTATATTTGCCGTTTGGGCCTATAGAAGCCGGGTGAAGCGGGATGCGTGTCCGATCGGACTCCGATCAAGCGGGGTGCGTGTCCGATCTGACTCGAATCAGCAGGGTGCGTGTCCGATCGGGCTCGAATCAAGCGGGGTGCGTGTCCGATCGGACTCGGATCAAGCGGCGCGGGTGTCCGTTCGGACTCGAATCAAGCGGGGCGCGCATCCGATCTGACTCGAATCAAGCGGGGTGCGTGTCCGATCTGACTCGGATCAAGCGGCGCGGGTGTCCGTTCGGACTCGAATCAAGCGGGGCGCGCATCCGATCTGACTCGAATCAAGCGGGGTGCGTGTCCGATCGGGCTCGAATCAAGCGGGGTGCGTGTCCGATCGGACTCGGATCAAGCGGCGCGGGTGTCCGATTCGGACTCGAATCAAGCGGGGCGCGCATCCGATCGGACTCGAATCAAACGGGGCGCCTGTCCGATCGGACTCGGATCAAGCGGGGCGCGTGTCCCG